AGGAACTGTAACTTGCAACATCTTTTTGTTACTTTTCTATAGTTCTGAGGATACACCCCATTTCGTCGCCAATACCCCAACTCGTCACCTATATCAGTTCCTTTTCGTCATCACTAACAGTTGCTGGTACAGTATTAGTGACAAATTGTAAGCTATTATTTTACACTAATAGAAATTACACATGTACTGTACACAGATGACTCGAGAAGTATTGTGTTATTATTATACATGATTATTAATTATTTAATAAAGAAAACGATTCAACATTGGCAAATAAACAAAATACTGAACAAATGAAGGTGATTTGCCACGAGCCCATGAACCACCGAGCAGTGAGATGATTACAGGCGTATTAACAATGTTTTTATTTTATATTTTCGTCTTTAATAAATTGTCTAAGTGTTTTTTATTATTTTATTTCCCAAGCAACAGTTATTTTCGTGTAATAATGATGGGAATGAACGGAGTGACGAAATGGGGTAAAGCAGTGGTTAAGAAACTAGTTAAAAATAGTTGTGACGAAGCGGGTTGTTGACGATATGGGCAGACCCCAGTCCCGAGGCACTTCAGATAATCCAACAAATGTCAATCAGTACCAGGGCCGGATTCAGGAGTGGGCAAAGTGGGCAGCTGCCCAGGGGTCTCCACAATCCAGGAGCTTCCACATATTACAATATTTTATTTATTTGTTTATTCATTTGGATTATTTTTATTTTCATTCTTTAAAATTCATGGGAATTTGTACACTATCAATAAATATACAGTTAATTAAAAATTTCTTAATGTTCTAATTTCCTCAATATAACTGCATATGGCTTCAAAATTCTCCAGTGTTCAAATTTCAAAATTTTCCCGGGGGGCTTACAGCGCCCCCCCGGAACTCCCAGATGTTTAGGCTCACTTCGCTCGCCACCCCACCCTCTTGGGTAGTTATAAAGAGGGGGGGGGGCTCCACAAAGAGGCTGCCCTTGGGCCTCCACGGGTCTTAATCCGGCACTGATCAGTACAGTTAATAGGGGTTTGTAAAGTTATCTTTTTTGTGTCGACTGATGTGGTCTTGTAAGAGTTATCGTGCTTATAATACTTGTAGCATGTCTACATCCGCACAATATAGCGGATAGGTTGTCGACTGAAGTGATGGTCAGACCATAAATCATATCTAGAGTCGGAGGCTTTGATGCCAACGATGGCTCACCACGAAACACTCCCGAAAACTTCATGATCATACCATCACTTCTTTCACCTCCCAGAATACTAAATTGTTGGATTTTCACTTTTGTTTCAGTTCGACTGTAGTCAATAATAATATATCGTAGACATTAACTGCGAGACCTTGAGCATTTTCATTGAATTTAATGGAGTCATTATGAGAGGGATATTCAAATAATTTACAAACACGGTTTGCAATTGAAGGCTCAGTCACAACTCGTATTTTATTTTTTCAAGAAAGTCTCGCCTGACATCAATTCAAGGCTTTAGTACTGTAGTGAGCCACATGCGGCCCATCAGGCTTCTGAGTACGGCCACTAGACAAATGTTTCATGATTGTCCACACACATGAACAAATCAAACCAGAAACGACACAGATTTAACCATTTCTCGAATTATTAAGTATTTTTGGAATTGGTGAAAATTCGTTTTTATCCCATGTCCCTATCAGGGGTGAGGGGAAGGCTGTATGTAAAGGTGATTGGTGGATCTGTTTTTGGCTGTATCACTGTCAGGATAAATATTAAACAAACCAAAGGTAACATTTTTATAATAATAAACTATTCATTGTTGTTTAAGGTCATGAGAAGTTCCAAATGTTCGTATATTTGTTTAAATAATAAAGAAAATTTGATGTGAGAATCTTGTGGCAGCCCTGGGTGTAGTTGAGTTGCCAATTCATTTATATAATTTTCTTCATTATTTAAACAAATAACGAAAATTTGGAAACTTTTCATGACCTTAAATAACAATGAATAGTTTATTATTATAAAAATTCTACCTTTGGTTTGTTTAATAATTATCCTGACATTGATATAGCCGAAACCAGATCCACCAATCACAATCACCTTTACATACAGCCTTCCTTTACCAAGTGTTGCCAGGTAAAATTGCGAGCACGAGACCCAGGGTGGGATCGGTTTTTTTTTTTGTAGAGAAAGGAGGGTGAAAGAAGATTAGAGGTGGGGGAAGGAAGTTATAGTTCGGAAATTGAAGAAGTTGAGGAGGTAAGAGAGGGCTGGCTTAGCGCCTAGCTAAGCTAATAGTGTGTTAGGGTTGTGTCATGGGTTAGTTATTGTCTGTCGGTACAGGCACTAGACATCCAAGGGGTGCCCCCCCCCCAACCCTGGCCGAAATATCTATTGGAAAAGAACGAATATTAACCTTGAAATTTGGTGGGATTTATACTAACATCATATTATAATATTTCTATAATTTGAATTGATTTAACTTTATTCTTTCATTACTGTGTTTAGATTCACACATGCAGTAGCTTTATTTATTTTTTGTTATGGCAACACTTCAATCTTCATGATCAACTGCGTGCTACACCCGGTAGTTGTGCTTCCCTATGATGTAATGTAAGGTACAGTAGTTGTAAATAAATATTGTTCACTGCTCCCACCAAAGTCTAATTAAACCAGGTTAACCCACGCCCAGGAGCTAATTATGTGATGCCATTGGCTGGTAAAGGAAGAAAACGGTAGTAAGGGAGGACTAGTTTATTATCATTGTATTAGAAGATATTCCTGCCATATTTCTTGATTTTCTCACCCCTTAGCACATTATCTCTCAGTTAGCCACTTTAACTTCTCATGTAATCATTATTTTTAAGATGTTCCTCTTCTTATTATTAAAAAAAATATTATTAACAATTCTCTTCTTCCTCTGTTTATTATTGTTTATATTCTTATTATTTTGCTGCCAGTATCAGTGTAAAACCAATTAAATAATCATAGGCATATGGGCTAGCTTAGGGTTGACATATCTGAACATTAAAAAAAAACAGGACGTTCCCGAAGACATCATGTGCCCCCCACCCCCCCGCCTGGCACACACTGGCGCTATGTAACCTTGATGCAGCCGGGACCGTTTTATGCTCTGGAAAAGTACAACAAATCGTAAGCACTAGCTGTGGCACCAAGCGACTAAGATCAAACACTGTCACTGCAGGTTAAAGACTGGCCAACCACCGGTCACCGTCATAGAGGTTACCCCCACAAACTGCTAGCAGCTAAGTTGACAACACCGTACAGGCGGACACGTGACTTATCAGCTGACGAGAACTGAACAAGATCTCTACTGTTTCCACCTCCCCTCTCTCACAGTCTCTTTCTCTCGCCATTACAGTTTCATGTTTTTTTTTCCGTGGAGAAAATGATGGAAGCTGAAATTCCGGACTTTTGAAGAATTTAAAAAATTCCTTCCGGATGAAGATTTCGAGACCTAAATGGAGGACATGTCCGGGAAAATACGGACGTATGGCAACCCTAGGCTAGCTATTTACTGGGATGGGACTGAAGGAATACAAGAATTATATAAAATAGTTAAAAGTGAATAGTAAAAATTATTAATGATTATAATTATCATCATTCTCTCTCTCCCAGTACAGTAAATCAGGGCATACAAGTACTGTACTGTAGAGGTTTTCAATTTATTAATATGGCCACTAGATATATTATAGATGACAAGGCGATACAACAGTTTCAAGCAACAAATAGGTACTTGTCTCTCCACATCCGGTTTCCTGGCTGAACATTAGACTTTAGGGAATCTAAATTAAAACCCGCCAACGGCTCTAAAGTATTGCCCTTCCTCGGGTCCGACTAATTACCCAAATGTAGCCGCAATGAAGTCAAATGATGGTCGTACAAGCGTAAATCGGGCTGTGAATCACTTCTCGATTATTATTTGGTGTCATAAAGTAAAAAAAAATTGGTAAACTTAATTTAATCTGAGTTAATAGATCGAGTGCATGTACCTAACCTAACACAGGAGCTTGTGGACATCCTTTATAGCAGGGGCTTGCAAACTTTTTGCATATAGGGCCACAATAAAAACCATATGATGCATGATGGGCCATATAATCACTATATTGTTTTTAAAATTCAGAATTAATGATAAATCTAAAGCCTAAAAAAAATTTCCTAAAAAAAATATGGGAACTCGGAATCACTGGACAGTATTATCAGTGTGATCGCTGAATCTTGATACCATTTATTACACTGATCTTACACTTTTCAAAATTGATATAGCATTATAACAGAATTGTTACATTTATAATTTCTCATAACTGCCGGGTATTCGGTTTCTTTACACCATTAATGAGGCTTCACACTTTACAGGTTGTAGAGGTCATCATGCAGGTCAATATATTGAGTGTTAAGCCTTGGGTGTGGGGGCCGCAGAGAGGGATCATGGTAATTTCAGAAGTGTGCCGCATTGACAGGCTTCAAGGGCCGCATGTGACCCTCGGTCCGCAGTTTGCACAACCCTGTTAAGAGTATAATCATTGCTGTTTTGTTTGACTACATTTGAAGCCCCAGACAATGTTGGAATCACTTTATGAATGAATGTGATTACTGAGATGCAGACATGGCCACATGTTCGGAAAGACCACCAAGGGATGAAACACAATACTTTGGTCATATAATTGGGGATGAGGGAACAATAACAGAAATATTAATGGGCAAAGTTGAGGGTAGGAGGGCCAGGGGAAGGCAGAGACTGGGATGGATGAGTGAAATTAAAAATTGGGTCCCCAGAGAGATGCAAAACCTTAGGGGATTGGTAAAAACAACTCAGAAATGTTTAGAGTGGAGGACTGTGGTCGCCAACCCTGAGGTCAGATATGTGGACGGTACGCTGAATGATTGATTGAAGTCAAGATTAAACAAATAATCACACCCCATCTTTCTGATTCATTCTATGTGTTGTTTACAGTACAGTATTTTTTGGTATACACCTGTATGTGTTGTACAGTATTTTTATTTATGTTGCTTTTGTTTCAGAATGACGAAGACTTAATATTTGACGATGAGGGTGTCGTGCGTGCCCGGCGTGAGGTGGAGGTTGCCCCAGTGGCTGAGCCCCTGCAGGACTCCTCAAACATTCATTCCCACTCTGGCAGACAACGTAGGCAACTTTTCTCCAATCCTTTTGGAAGTACATCTGATGATGAGGATGATGAAGGTTCAGCTATCGAAGGCTCTGGCATGGAACCACGTAAGTATTGTGTGTGTGTTTAATATTATTATGAAGTAATTTCCTCTTATGTATGAAACTTAAGTTAAATGGTAGAACCGATGGCCATTTTTTTATTCAGTGAGGTATCTCTTGTGTTGACCTATGATATTATGAGTTCTGTATAAAATTGTATTAATTTATTAAGTACGTTCAGTATGGTATACAGTAATATCCTTGAGCAAGTGATGCAGGCAGGCCAAATGATATGATGATATAGGATGGTCTCCCTTTATTCTGTTGGATCTACTGTAGGAAGTGTTGGTATTGTCACTCTCCTCTCCCTCCATGAATGAAGGATTGTACACTCTCTGTATACTGTACAATACATACACCCTTTACACACAAGCCTACAGTAGGCATTTACTGTTCACTTTGCTATGTACTGTACAGTATGTTTGGAACTTTCACACCATACTGAATGTACAGTACATATAATTACAGTTGGGTCTCACTTTATGCGGTTAATATAACCCACAGGGTACCCGCGGAAAGTGAGAAACGCGTAAAATGAACAACATAACATATGGGATTAATTGAAATAGAGACCGGGCCGACCCCCAAACTCCACTTTTTCAGACACAATGCCTACGTTGTAGTAAAAATAACTTCTAAATTTTATGATGGTATGCACACATAATTAATAATTAAGAGAAATATCAATAATATTAGGTTTTTTAACACTTACATTAGTAGAAAAGATGGCTGGGCACACGGGGATGGGGGGTTGGTTCCGAGGCAGAGGGCAGATTATTGGCCCTCACCTGTATCACTTGTATCAATTGTATCACTATCCACCACAGAGGCTTGCAGGGCCTCTTTGTCAAACCCCTCAAAGTCCATATAAGTCCATATCCTCACTATCATTATCACTGTCACTGACTTGGGCTGGCTGTGGTGGGTGGCGGGTGAAGAACTCGGTAATGTTTTTATGACTGGGCGAGGTTGTGCGCACCCTGCTCATGCCGTTCTCCGCGTAAAAGGGTACACACACACACCGCCGAAAGTGAGCATTCCGTGTTCGGCAGGGTACCGCGTAAACGTGGAAACACGTAAAGTGGGACTGCGTAAAGCGAGGGTTGACTGTATATATATATATATATATATATATATATATATATATATATATATATATATATATATATATATATATATATATATATATATATATATATATATATATATATATATATATATATATATATATATATATAGTATATATAAATTGGTTATAGAACACATAAAATAAAAGTTCAAGAGTAACTGACGGACATTACCCTTACAGGCAGTGTGGGTACAGCATACTGCAGACCAAACCTTTTTTCAGTACTCGAGCAAGCAAGGTGGCCATCACTGCAATTGACCATTTTCAACTGTAAAGATTAGACCCATTCACAGTTTGATGACCTGGGGGTGTGCCCTGGCCGACAAAAGCAGTAATTGAAGGACTGGAGGCTAGCATTATATGTCTTTCCAATTAAACGTGTGTACCCAGGCTCTTTTCGTTTACACTATCAGCTGGATTGTGCAATTTCACACAAACACCACACTAATATGTATGTGAAGGATTTCCTGTTTCTTTGCATATAATTTCTTCTTCCTATTTTTTTAAACACTTTGTTTGTATAGATAATATGTTCATAATTTTTTTTTCTACAGGAGTTTATCGTGTGATGTTCACTTTAGAAAAGCGATGGACACAGGCATACAGAAATAGAGAAGGACCAGCATACAGGAACACAAAAGCACAGATAAGCAGTGCATTCACAGAGCTACTGCAAGATGTACAAGGGAACCCCAATCTTCAAGTGGTAGCTATGACGTGAGTGTTTAGATCGATATTTTCCAGTCCACATTTGAGAGATTTTAGTCCTGTCATTGTTATATGCTGCCACAGAAGATTGGGTACATTATGTTTTTCTTTTCCAATTCTCTGTCTTTGTCACATCACTGGAGTACTCATGTATGAAAGCAGCTCCAAATATTGCCAACAAAAAAATTTAAATGTACCCACATCAGTGCCTGGGGGGGGGAGGGGGGCGAAATTATAATAAGAATAATACAACAATAAATAAATATATATATTCAATAAAAATACATATTAATAATAATAATAATAAAGGACCATAAAAAATAAAATAAAAAATTAATACTGAGAAATGATATATGTATGTTGTGTTGTCAAAGTAAGAGAAACAATTGAAACCCTGCAATTGTGTGTAAATAAGGCAGAAAGTCAGATCAGCAACCTGGGAATTGGTCACAAATTTTGTAATTGTTGGTTATTGTAATTTTTGAGGATTGTGTATGTATACTAGGGGGCAGGGAAAAACACTTTTACTTGAGTTGCAGGCTGCACTTTTCAGGCATCGTTTGTATGGCTGTAACAAACACCTGTGCAAAATTTCATGCCATTTCATGCATACTTACCCTGCCGCATCGCGAACGACTTTTTGTCAACTTTTAGTGTATACCAAAAATTAGGTGTCATTTAATGTTTTCCAGGATAATGATAAATTTTACATGGGTGACATCGATTTAATTCACATGTTATTTTACAGGTACACCGTATAGAAAATCATTACAAGTTCATATTGAAATTCTTTTTTGTGCGGAACCTTGGCATCATTTTCCTAGACAATAATCTTTGCCTAATATATCCATCTCTCGATTCGTATCCCGTCACTTCAGTGCAAGCTTCAGTCATCACTTTTATGCCTCTCTCGACCGCCTGAGTGCTGTTTGGCCACTTGGGCACCACTAATGGTGTCTCAAGAATGTCATTAACCTGTAGATTTGACAGAGAAGCAATGTAAGGAGGCTCAGTCTTGAGTTCATTCTTCCAGTTAATCATGGAATGATAGTTTTTTGCTTGCCACTTTAGTTTCGGAGTCACCACCTTTCTCATGTTGACTACAGGAGGCACATCCTCATTCCCATCTCCATCTTTACCCTCCTCATCAGTATAGTTTAACAAATTCTCGTCAACAGCAGCATCAGAATCTTCCTCCTCCTCTTCAGATCTGCCAGTGCATTCTTCCTTTTGCTGATTCTCCTCTCTAATTTTTCTTATCATTGAGACAGCTTTTTCTCTAACAGTCATGTCCTCATCTGCACACATACCAAGAAGAAGTTGATCTGTGTGGGCGAAGTATGCATTTCTCTGGACAGCCTTCTTCACTATCGTCTCCTCCTCACTATTCAGGTGTTTCATATATAGCAGGGACTGGAATACGTTCCTTGAGCCGTGTGTTACGTAAGGGTGTATCTTGATGTAAAACCACATTGGAGCACTGAACTTTATTATTGTAATGACAATTCTTTTCAACTCATGGCTGGGTCTTGATGTTGCTACATACAGCCTGAGGATTCTTCTCCATAAGGTGTTCCACCTTGACACACAGGGAGGACCTGGCTCAATAGCAGCCAAGTCATCTTCAACAACACCTGTGATAACTCCTTTACAAATCCTATACAGGTATTTCTGATCCCAGGACAGATCTTTCTCCACTTCATCATTAAACACATGGAAATCAGGGAAACTGACTGGCTGGAAGGCGACAACTGGAAGCTCAGACAAAGACTCCTTGATCTGCTTTCCAATGGGACCACGCCAATGCTCAGGACCACTTGGTTTACCATCATAGTGATAAAAAACTGCGCGGAAAGGCAGCTCATTTCCGTGAAGCTGACATATGAAATAATGGAGCGGGTGACCAAGTAACATTTCAAGATGATGAATGACTCCATTTTCTGATCCTACATTTACATTGGTTCCATCACAACCAACACACACAATGGGCTGCTGGGTTAGATTTTTCTCCACCAGAAACTCGTGAATAGTTTTGGCAATCTGCTTTCCGTGTCCAGTCTTGGGAGTCACATGTGTGAGATATTCATTGCCAGGCTCAACCATGATGACATAATGATCTTTCACCATCATCCTCGAACTCCATTTCTCGGTCTTCTCATTCTTTATCATCACACGAGTGGCGGTCTTCTTACCATCAAAATAGAGTGACGTCAAATTATCTAAACTAGCCATCTCAATTTCTTGCCTCTTAAATCGGTATTTTTGTCTCGCATCCCGCAGCTTATGTGGTCCAATAACCTGACTCTTGTCATCCTTTGTGATAATGCCATAGTCAGTTAAGGTGGCAGTAGCAATGGCAGCTCCAGCATAATCACTAATCAAGTATCGGTCACAAGCGGCAGCCAGTGTAGGGAGTCTTGTCCGGTTCTGTGAACTGGTGTCTGTCAGAGCCCTTGGATCAGGGACAAAATCAGCATCAGTATTGACGAGAGGAATATCTCTTGAATCATCTGAATTATCCTCAACATAAGGAATATCTCCAGCTACCAGATATCTATTTGAATAATTTCAAGTGCGCCAACTTACCCAGGTCTCCCCTACATTACAGTACAGTAACACAACATTGAGAAATGAAATGAGAAAAGGCTGATAATCAATATAGACATAGCACCATACTCATCTGCAACAAGACAACTTAAATGAAATAAGAGATATGAAAAAAAAGTTGATAAACACTGAACAGAACATTGCACCGCCACAGCGGCTGTTTGGCTAGTACTGTAGGTAAATTTAAAAATTTCAGTAGAAAATGCGGCAGACTAAACCTCGACATATCAGCTTCAAATTTGGCATGGAGTCTTAGATATGTATAAGGAACAATGCCTGAAGAGTGCAGCTTTGAGCAAAATTTCACTGCCCCCTAATGTATACTGTATTGACTTTAAGCACATCTACAGAAGATAACATTGTACAATATACCATTCCACTGTACTGTATGTGTCAAAGATTTCTTAAGGAAACTAGTGTAGCAAAAGGCATGACTATTATATCATAAGTTTCATTTACTACAGTTCATGTTTAAGTAATAAATTAATTATTTTTCTGTAGAAAATCACCATCATCCGAAATTCGGTTGACAGTAGATATCACATATGACTGGGAGCCTGAAAGAAGTAATGAAATAAAGATGAAGATTGAGAATGCTTTACGTAGTGGATTTGTGGGCAGCCACCGTGTTAGAAAGCAAAGGTTCTCCATCGATGAGCATAAAGGTATGTCTTATTTATCACATTGCCTGCAAATATCAATTATATTACTGTACTTTCACTTTCTCGGCTCTGTTCTTTCAATTTTTACTACTACATTTTCTTATATTTCTGTGTCTTGCAAAGATTTTTATTTGTAATAATTGCCTTTGCTTATACTGTAGAGTGTCTTGTACTGTACATGTTTAGTTAGATAGTCGTTATTTTTATTTCCAGTTTGTAGTTTAAATGTTTAGTATAAATATCTTTTATAGTTTATTTGGGTTATACACTATATGTGGGCTATTGTTTTGTCTGACATGCTTGTGGGATTTGATTTTTGCTTCAAGCCCTACCTGTCCCTCGCCCGAGATGCGGACCTGGTCAGCATCAGTGTCTCTCTGGTCGCTGTGTTGCCCGCTGTGATGGAAAGAATGAATGTCTTGATGCATCTGATGAAAAAGGTTGCCCCCCAAAACGTAAGTTCATTATCTCTATTCTGCTGTTAGCTTATTGCAAGCAGAAATTATATCTTGTATTGAAATTTTACTGAATTTCTTTTCCTATAGATGGATTTACAGTAAACGTGCTGTACAGTAGTACATAGCTGTACAGTATTTGTTGGTAAATTTACATTTATGCAGTAAAACACTTAACCCACTTTGGTTGACTAATACCTGTACTCGTACATTGAATGTTTATGTTGATTGGTTTATTGAAATTGTAAGACTCATCATAACATAGTATGACTATGTTCCACACCTGTATATAGTACTGTAATTATATTTGTAATCAGGTTTTGTGTATGTATGTTCACAAGAAAAGCTTTTGTCCAGTACAGTACATATATATAAAAACTTAATGGTGCAGATTCCCAGCAAGAGGTATTGCATTAAAGTACTGTACTGTAATGTATGAATTGCTCTATTTAATAAATTGCAGTAGTTACAAAGTGACTTGTGCTTTTTGTTGTTTTATAATTTTGGGTGTGTAAGAGATTGTGTGGAACAATATTATAATTCAACAGGTCATACAATTATTTTATGAAAAGTAGAGTATAGTAAAGTATCTGTTAACTGAAAATCTGTTATGAAATATGCTACCTGTAATGCACAGAAGTGCTTCGAATTACGAAAGGGATACGTTCCTGAGAAACCTTTCATAAATTGGATCCATTTTTCCCATTGGCTAACATTAAATAGAGGCAGATATGTTCCTAATAAAAAAATATCCCCCAGACCTAAAAATACTGTACAGTACAGTACACATTTTAAAAAATTTTTGTGGGAAACGATACAAGAATAATGACACGTTGAAAGCTTGTTTGTACGCTTAACCCCTTGTGTAGGGAGTTCTTTCTCTTTTTAATAAAATTGTCTGGTGTTAGCCAAAGTGACCACCAGAAAGTGAAGGGGTTAGTAACATTGAGAGTGAAAGAAAATAGTAAAGTAAGTTAGTGTACAGTAGAGTCTGCATTTACGCAGTTAATTGAACCCGTGGAGGCCCCCGTAAAACGAGAAACGCGTAAATGAAATGACAGAACATATGGGATTAATTGAAATAGAGACTGGGCCGATCCCCAAACTACACTTTTTCCGACTCAATACTTACCTTGTAGTCAAAATAACATCTTAATTTTATGATGGTATGCACACACAATAAATAATTAAGAGAAATATCAATAGTATTAGGTTTTTTAACACTTACATTAGTAGAAAAGATGGTTGGGCACACGGGGATGGGAGGTTGGTTCCGAGGCAGAGGGCAGATTATTGGCCCTCACCTGTATCACTTGTATCAATTGTATCACTATCCACCACAGAGGCTTGCAGGGCCTCTTTGTCAAACCCCTCAAAGTCCATATACGGTAAGTCCATATCCTCACTATCACTGACTTGGGCCGGCTGTGTTGAGTGGCGGGTGAAGAACTCGGGAATGTTTTGATGACTGGGCGACCTTGTGCGCACCCTGCCTGCGCCGCTTTCCGCGTAAATGACCAAATTTACCGCGTAATTAAAGCATTTCGATTCTGGCAAGGCACCACGTGAATGACCAAACGCGCTAACCAAAGCCGCATAAATCCAGACTACTGTACAAATATTTACTGAAACTGAAAATATAACCAAACTGTACAGTACTATGTTTTATTACATGCTTTTCTTGGATACGTACATGTTTATTGATAGTATCTGCTAAACATAATTATCTATTTTACTGAAGCCTTTTGGTACCCAACTTTTTAGTCGACAGATATTTTACTGTATACTGTACTCATGCCTTGTGTGATTAAATTGATAGTGAAAAAATTATAAATGTAAGTTGTGGTGCACATGCAAAAAAGTTATGAAAGTTTAATTGTGGATGAATGCGGTACCAAGGTGGTTGGTTAGATGCCTGACACTCAGATTTGTATGTGGTGTGATAGTTTAATATAGAGTATAGTACAGGGGGTTCCCAACTTACGAACGTTCGATATATGATTGCCCGCCGATATGAACGAGGTTAAACTTGAAATTTACAATATTTTATTTACCTGATGGCTTACTTTTTACTTTCATTAACTGTATTTTCTCATTCTATTTCTTTTGTCTTAAAGTAAGTGATTTTAAACGCATATAAGGACTTAGGCTATGATATAGTGGAAATTTAAACATCGTTCTGTATGTACGGAATGCCCAAAGCATGACGTACAAATCTGACTTAAGAATGTGCTCAGGAACGAAACCCATTTGTAACCTGGGGACCCCCTGTACTGGAATGAGGGTAGAAAATTGATTGTTGACTTAAGGGAGTTAGCCTCTGTTATATTTTCTTTTGAATAAAGTTTACCAACAGCCTTTGTAAATACAGTATACAGTAATTCTAATCTTAAGAGTGCACTTGATTACTTCATTTTTGTGGTGATATGTCGCAGATGTTTCCTATTTTTAACCTGGTGTTATGTATTTTAAAACATATATGATAAGGATAAAATGTATGGTGAATTAAACAGCTTTTGGGCTAAATCTGGGGTCGTATCCTGGCACTTAACTTCAATTTGGTTTTGCCTTATTTACATACTGGTAATTAAATCCTTACACTTATTTGATAATTGGTATCTCGATCTTGTGTGTTGCTTTGACATTTTTCTCTCTTTCCTCATCCTTTATTTTTGCTATGCATTCTTAGAGTTAGTTCCTTATATTTTGACCTGTATTTTGTATAATTATTCATGAGTATTGTAGATAGTAGAAAATATGGCAGTTGGTTTTCTCTGTACTATAATACTGTATACAGATCGTAATACAGGTATGTACAGTAGAGAGTTTCTATGTGCTGTATGTATCCTACTACATGATTCTGTAAGTGTCATATTTTGTAATCCTCTAATGAAAAAGGTTTAAATGCATAGAAACCAACTTGAGTACAGGTTGTACCTCTCTAGTCCGGCAACCTCGGGACCTGACCGGTGCCTGACCATGGAAATTGCCGGACCATGGAAATTCACCCTTTTCCTGGATAGATAGTGACTTGTGCTTATGCTTGGAAGCACTAGCATCACTTTATCTGCATCATGGTCTCTTTGAAGACATATTGAAGGGTTAAATGTATAGTAGCTTCTCAAATTTCGCGAGTTTTTAATTCAACATATTTTATTGGAACACAAAAAAATAAAAAAAACAAAAATTTTGATGGCGGAAACTTGAATTTCGACGGGTTTGAACGACCCGCCAACGTGCAGACGACGTGCATAATCGTGTAAACAGCGTCATTTCTCTTATTTACAAAAGAATCATTATTGTTTATTACTGAATGTCTTTTTTATTGAATTAATGTTTATGTGTGCAAAATGAGCAACACAATCCATTAATAATACATAGAATATTAAAACACACGAGGAAATGACACAGCATTGTTTTTGTTGATTACAAAACCAGTGACTGACTGGTTCTACATATAAAACTGAAGAAAATAAGACCTTGGTTGTAGCTGTAGTAAAATTAATATGGTTGTTTTAAGTAATGTTATTTAATGTTAATAAATGGAACAATAGACGTAGCTAACGATAATGGTAAAGAAAAAAGAGATCGCGTATGTAAGTGCGCACACGTGAAAACATATCGTCATTACTTTACATAAGAATATGAAAGCAACGCTTATTTACTGTTCATATATATTTAAATTAATGTTTCTGAATTTGTTTTTATTGAATTAATGTTTGTGTGTGCAAATTTAACAATACAATTTATTAATAATACGTGGATTATTAAAACACACGAGGAGACGAGACGGCTGCCGGCATTGTATATGTTAAAGGTTATAAAACCAGTGACTGATTGGTTCTACATATAAAACTGAAGAAAATAAGACCCTGATTGTAGCTGTAGTAAAATTAATGTAAAAAAATTAATATGGTTGTTAATAAATGGAACAATATAAGTAGCTAACCATTAATGATAAAAAAACAGTGAGACTGCACGTATGTAAGTGCGCACATGTGAAAACATATCGTCATTACTCTACATAAGAATATGAAAGCAACACTTATTTACTGCTCATATATATTGAAGGGTTAAATGTTGTACTCTGTATAGACAAGCAGAGAGAGAGAGAGAGCAGCTGAACTGCTGGATGTAAACAAACCTTAATTTCCCGCGGGTTTGTTGTTTTTTTTTTACGGGGATTAGCCCACCCGGGCATAGGTCACTGACCCACATTGGGGCCTGAGGGGCAAAAATTTAATACTCCTGTAATAATAATAATAATTCAGATAAAAAAAAAAAAAAAAAAAGCTGCCTATCTACCTATTGGACAAACTAAAATCGTTCCGGACCACGGGAGTTCCCGGACCACAGAATGCCGGACTAGAGAGGTACGACCTGTATTGCCATATCCTTCACCACTGACAACACTAAATATGCTTTATGTCACATTGCCTTTCTTAGTATCTAAAGTCATATTACTACAGTTACCTTTTACATTACCAGGTAAATACTGTGTATCAGCTTCTCACCTGTAAAGCTATCCCAGTAGTACTGTACTTAAAAGTTTTTAAAATCTTATTTTACATTCTCATATGTACAAAAATTTTGTAATTGTTGTCAATTGCATGTTGAACTTTATCCATTACTAATTTTATCCATTATACCTGTACATAAAAGCATGTGTAATACATTTATTGCAGGCTAAGAAGTCCTTTTTATTGCTTTTGCTGCAAAGCTTAAGAGATGCCCCAGTGTCTAGCTAATGTTGCAGTAATTCATACTGAGATAGACAGTATGATATTTAAAGATGCACTATTACTTGAATGAAGTGCCTGGAAATCTCTTATGTTACTTTTTGTAGATAATAATTATACTTCAGAGAAGCACAAACCTAATACAGTAGTGTACATAATTTTGGGAATACTTTACAATTGTTGCCACTATGGGTGATTTAATATTGGAGGTTTGATAGGTTTGAACATGTACAGTTTAATTACAGGGTTTAATTTAGAGAATAAGCAATATAATATGACTTTTTAGGGAATATTTAAGAGCTGGATTGGACAAACAGGGTGTGGATCTTTCTCCCACATAAAGAGATTTATACAGTAAAAGAAAGTAGAGCAGATCTCAAGCTTTTAGGGACACACAACACAGGAGAAAGGACCTCAGCAGGTGACCAGACATTTGAGGTGCAGAGGTTTTCAGGAAAGTGATCATGTGTAATTTTAAAAAATTCAGACATCAGTATGAATGAAGAATGCAAACAAATTGCTGTTTTCATTAAACAGTCCAAACACTAAACTTTAACAGTGTAGGATCATCTGCAATCTTAATGATGCTCTCTTAGTGAAAGAACATCTAACTATTAAAAAGTTGTGGCTAGTTGACCAGATTGCTGTTTCCTCTTGGTTTATTAGTTTCTTCACCCACAACCACACAGCACCGCCACTTTGATAAGTGACACTACCACCACTTTGATAAGTGACACAGCACCACCACTTTGATAAGTGACACAGCACCACTTTGATAAGTGACACAGCACCACCACTTTGGAACTTAGTTTATGGTTTGTGCTACTCTGGAGTAAACCTTCGTAGTTGGCTCGCATGACATATTACTTGCATGACTTCACACTCAGATCCAGCGGAAGGTTGCCGTGGTGATGACTCGTTTTTATGTAACGATGATGTTACTATCATTTGTGAAGTACAGCGGTGTGATGGTTCAGTGGACTGCCCTGACGGAGATGATGAGGAAGGCTGTGGTAGGTTATTGAACTGGCATTGCTTGCCATCTCCACTTATTACTAGTTACAACTAATTTACATCATCCACCTTGCAAATCAACCTCATTTATTAGGTTATATAATACTACAGGTATTGTACTCCTGCTGCTGTATGGGCAGCATTTTTTTTTTTATGAATATCTTGGCAGCTTATAGAAAATGTATTTTACTGGATGACCGCTTTTGTTTAATATGCCATTTGCCTAGAAATTAATTTAGAATTCCCAATAATGGCAGAAAAAAGCTTGTATGCATGATAACAAAGGTATGATCAAGAAATTATGCAGATGGCTTGCAGTAAAAACTCACTAGGTAGCCTGTTGGAGCCATTTCTTACAATGTGTGGAGAGGAAAGCAACAGCTACTAATGGAAAAGTCTTTCCAACCATAGCTAGGTCAATCACTTTTGCTAGAAAAGCGTCCCTAAATAATTTGGATGCTGCCATTAAAGGCCAGAAACACCAGTTAGTCGAGACCATTTTTCCTCGAACTGTCCATCCGTGTACTGGTGTCCTTGTTATTTGTACAATCGTTATACATACAGTATACTGTACTCGGTTATGCATAGTAGCAGTTTTTACCACCAAAAATTATTATTCGTGTGCCTAACTCTCTTATAATTATGTACTGTATACAAAATAAAACCTCAATTTATTGGGTTAAAAGGGAGAAGCGATGTCGTTAATGCTGGCAGTCCATTAAATCCTGACGTTTACTACAATTTACTTTTGATGTGCTGTTTATATATGATCTATGATCATGTCTAATAACAACTTATATATTGAGCACCATGAAAGAGTACAGTAATTCCTGACTATTTGTGTATTGTGTTTGTGCCATCAACGATTTGTGGGAGGCAATAAAATAATAATACTGTACAGTAATTTTAAATACTGTATCTGCTAATAGATGATGTGCCCACTCATTCTGCCATGAGGCCTGTGAAGCTTATTTAAGATGGTGTGACCCACCAGCTAAAGTAAATGCCCACCCTCGCTTTAAAATCACTCTCTGTAATACAGAGGTGTATAAAAAGGGAATATCTTAGCAGAAACCAGTCACTTGTGGTTAACTGGGTAAAATTTCATAAAAAACTAACTTGGTTGTTAAAGCTTGTAACAGACTTATTTTATTGCTCAGTGTTCTTAAAGAATTCCATTAGGCTGCTAGTTTGTAGGACTGACACTATATCTGCTGTGCTAGACTAAATTCTCTGTACACATAGTAATGCAGGTTTGTTATCAGAAAGAATTTCTCATGACATAATATTTTGATTGTTTACATCCGCTAATAGGATCAGTTGTCTAAAACAGGTTGATGGTGAGAGCGGAGATAACCAAGCTTGCTTGCAAAGTCTGCTTCAAGGAAGCTCTTATATGCCTCCTAGGTATGTAAATATGAATTTGAAGAAACACATGGAGAGGTCCTGGCATATCATTTTGTTTGTGAGCATGTTGAGAACCTTCCTAGGGTAATTACAACCCTATTTCATACTGACTGAGCGATGTCCCATCTTTTTTTGTGTGTTCTTTAAACACATTGTACTTTCAAAGTTAAGCCTGGAGTTTCAGCTGTCTTAGGAGTAGAATAATAGTGCCGTACAGTAGTACTTTTTAGCAAAATGTTTTCAACACTTCAACTCATTTGAGCAAAGTTTGATTTGTGATCCATATAGTAAACAAGATACAACAGCCTTGGTTTATTTCACAAGGTGGGGACTAAGAACGTCAGAAATTAAATATTAAAATATAAAGATACTGTATATATAATTCTTTACAAAATATATGTAAAGGGTTAGTGACTACAGCCCCCCAAAATCATCTAACTATTCTTATTTGCTTACTATGTGTACAAAGAGAAGAAAACCCAGCAACCTACAGAATTCGAGGTTGTACTGGATGATATTTATGCACATTAATCATCAACTCCCCCCCCCTCCCTTCACTACCACAACTTCTTATTATAAGGGAGAGATTAATTTCCTCCCGTCTTACGGGAGACCTTTAATGTTATGTTAACAGATCCAGATAGGGTAAAAAGAGCGACATGTAAGGAATAACCAGCACTGGTGTTGATGCACGATAGCAGATGTGTGTTACATCAGTTAAGAGTCAGTATTGCAAGCCATCTGCTTATCTCCTGATCATAAAATGAAACTTCAGTGATAAATTTTCTATTTCAAAGAAAGAAATTGAATTTCAATTATGATGTGAGCTGAGTGTATTGAACTAACTTAATATTAATGTCTCAGGATTTATTGTTGCTCTTTTCCTCATTTTTAATTTTGAGTTTTGCCAAAAATATAAGATATAATACAGTAAAAAACAAGGCTTATATAATATTGTTCCTAACTCTTGCATTATAAATAATAATTGAGTATATACAATGTTTTATCAGAAATTAACTATAATTTTTCACTTTCAATGTTCTGTACTTATTTATACAGTATTCTCATTTAAACATTGTCATAGCATTGTATGTTAACATTCTGTTGCCATGTGATTAATGTCTTAAAAAGCTCTGGTATGGCTGTTTGTAAATGTTATGTGCCTTCTGTTTCTTAGAACAAAATATTTTAATGTCTGCGCTCTTTCAGCTCCTTTACTGTGTGCATGTGATATATTAGAGCAAGACCAATGAATTTACCTAAAACTCTGGCATCTTTGGCATAGTGGTAGACCTCATCTTGGGTTCATGGAGGCTTTATTTGGGTTGTCAGTTGTATTTTCTATGGTACTTTATTATTGTTATTCTTTACACATTCTTTGTACACCAGAAGGAATAAATATTGTGAAGTAATAGGAGATATATATATACATATATATATGGGAAATAATGTTGCTAGATTTCCTAGAAACTTAAAGGGTAGAGTGGAGCAGAAAAGTTCTTCATGCACCTCTTGACTCTTAGAGTCAATCAGAGCCCCATGCTAAAACATACCATTGGGTTGAGCCAGTCATGATGCATGAGGCTCACCACCACACACACATCCTCCAAACACAGCCACATCCATGGAGAGTTCCTGTTTAGTTTTGCCATTCAACGTCACTGCGTGTACTGTAAATGTTTTCACAAATTTTTGAGGGCCGAGGCTATGTGAATGTATTTTCTCATTCTATTTCTTTTGTCTTAAAGTAAGTGATTTTAGATTCATGTAAGGACTTAGGCTATGATATAGTGGAATTTTAAAACATACAGTCATGCGCTGGTTCATATCCGACCGAACGACGTCCGATCGCATATACGTCCGTGCCCCCCCCCCAACCCCCCAAAAAAAATCCTTGACGCCTGCTGGACCACCACTCCACGACCCCCTGACGGAGACACGATGATCCTCCCCATACTGGTCAGATATTATGTGTTAAAGGAATACCGGTATGCTTCCTTCCTTAGGCTTTTTTTAAGCATTTGCCTCCAGGTGTAATGTTAACCTACATCTGTTAAGGATAAAATCTTTCACCTACAAATTGACAATAACACATTTGCTGTAATCAGACATATCTAGTTGCCTCAATAATTGCAACCCCAGTTGCAATTGGAGTTGCCATTTCAAATTCTGTGGCATTACTAAGAATAACTAAATCTCTGATGCACTCTAAGATTAAGAGAGAAAACGGAGGACTCAGGCGTCCTGATGTGAGAGAAAACGGACTCGTATGATGGGGGACCAAATGAAAATTGCATAGCTACATGTTTTGTGGACTACAGTATTAAGCGTACCCTTTTCATCACTTTGTAATAAACCTAGCCATGCCTATGTGTGTTTATGATATTTACCATAACATTATATATATAATTAGTGGTTCTAAATGGTCGTAAAATGGGGAACTTGGGGTTGGGTCTTGTGTGCCTGTAACCAATCAGAATAAATCCCATAGGTTCTGTACTTTAGTTATCGGCGGGGTCCCAGTTAGGCGCGATAACCAAGGGATGATTGTATAATGTATATACTTGTGACACTGGCCAGTTACTTCTGGTGTTATGGTACAGGGGTACCAAGTGACAGCACTAGGATCCCTCTTCCTCTATCAAGGAATAAACAATTCAAATTTAAATTGAAAAAAAAACATTCAAATAATGGGACGTAGCGAACCTAAATGGCCCTAGAGCGGGCACAATAATGTATGCATCACGTATTCTTATAGATTGTGCTGCCAGGCGTATGTTATCTAGTGAATTTAGTCAATATTGTATAGTAACAATGGACCTAAGTGCAAACCTGTATTATACATGTACTAAATGATTACGGTACTAAAATTGTTATGGCTATTGCATATATAGCAAATTATGCATATATGCATATATGGCAAATTATGAGAAGAGCTTAGTCACTCTTAAGTAATGACAAATAAACACGCAGGCAGGCCTTCAGCGCCAACTGTCAAATCTCATCTCAAATAAATAAATAAACAAACACCAGAGATTCTGTCACCTCACCTCCCCCTCTTCCCACGCTCCTGGCTACCTCCTTCGTGTTCCCAGACAAAAGATTGGTGATTTCTTTATGTTTATTTTATATAATATCTCAGACTAAAGTTAGGATAATATAATTTGCATTGCTGAAATCCTTGCAAGACAGAGATTAATTTAAATATAAGCGTCATATATTTTGCTCAAGATATAAAAAATGTAGTACATTAGTGTACAATACTGTAGTACATTTTATAAAAAGTTTTTCAACTGTATTTTTGGGTAGATTTACATAAATTTCTTCATTTATTTTCATCCATTTACATGCACACACCATACTTAAAGAAACGTAAAAGAAATAAATGACCTTAGTGCAAAGCTGGAGTGCACATGTACTAATTTGATTACGGTACTAAAATTGTTATGTCTAGTGCGAATTACAACATGTTTATATTCAAATAAATCAGTATCTTACAAGAATCCCAGCAATGTTAATTATATTCTCCTAGGTCATATCACTGGCATTTTAAAATGAGAGAAGCTTAGTAGGACTTTTAAATAAACACACAGAGACCTTCGGCTCAAACTTATCACCTGAACCCCCAACCCCTCGCTGGCTGGCTGGCTCCCTCCCTCCCTCCTCCCCAGCTTGGGTTTTAGCCTTACATTTTTTATTTTATATAATATCTCAGACTAAAGTTAGGAGATTATAATTTGCATTGCTGGTATCCTTGCAAGACAGCCAATAATTTGAATATAAACGTCATATATTTTGCTCAAGAGATAAAAAAATTTGTACATTAGTGTACAGTACTGTAGTACATTTTATAAAAAAGTTTTTCAAGTGTATTTTTGGGTAGATTTACATAGATTTCTTCATTTATTTTCGTCCATTTACATGCACACACCATACTAAAAGAAACGTAATAGAAATAATTGCCCTTAGTGCAAAGCTAGACTGCACATGTACTAATTTGATTACGGTACTAAAATTGTTTTGTCTAGTGCAAATTTTAGCATGTTTATATTCAAATTAATCAGTATGTTACAAGAATCCCAGCAATGTTAATTATATTCACCTAGGTCATTTCACTGGCTTTTTATAAGAGAGAAGCTTAGTCACTTAAGAACTGATAAATATACACGCGTTAGACCTGGGCCTGTGCCAACTGTCAAACGTACTACCTCCCCACTACCCCTAGCTCGCTCCCTCCCTCTCTCTCCCCCATCTGCCCGGCGTTGCTGGAATCCTTGTAAAACAGTGAATAATTTTAATATAAACGTCATGTATTTTGCACGAGATAAAAATTAATCACCTGTATCACATTGCAGTAGTGATTTAAGAGTAAAAGTGTATGTGTACGTATATAGTATTCCACATACACGTAAGTATAAATACAAAGTTTCTGTGATGATCGGACAACGTCCATTTGGGTTAACGTCACGTTTCCAAGAATGTATCTAGGACGTTAACCGGCGCATGACTGTATATGATAAGGATAAAATGTATGGTGAATTAAACAGCTTTTGGGCTAAATCTGGGGTCGTATCCTGGCACTTAACTTCAATTTGGTTTTGCCTTATTTACATACTGGTAATTAAATCCTTACACTTATTTGATAATTGGTATCTCGATCTTGTGTGTTGCTTTGACGTTTTTCTCTCTTTCCTCATCCTTTATTTTTGCTATGCATTCTTAGAGTTAGTGCCTTATATTTTGACCTGTATTTTGTATAATTATTCATGAGTATTGTAGAAAATATGGGAGTTGGTTTTCTCTGTACTATAATACTGTATACAGATAGTAATACAGGTATGTACAGTAGAGAGTTTCTATGTGCTGTATGTATCCTACTACATGATTCTGTAAGTGTCATATTTTGTAATCCTCTAATGAAAAAGGTTTAAATGCATAGAAACCAACTAGAGTATTGCCATATCCTTCACCACTGACAACACTAAATATGCTTTATGTCACATTGCCTTTCTTAGTATCTAAAGTCATATTACTACAGTTACCTTTTACATTACCAGGTAAATACTGTGTATCAGCTTCTCACCTGTAAAGCTATCCCAGTAGTACTGTACTTAGAAGTTTTTAAAATCTAATTTTCCATTTTCATATGTAAAAAAAAATTGTAATTGTTGTCAATTGCATGTTGAACTTTATCCATTACTAATTTTATCCATTATACCTGTACATAAAAGCATGTGTAATACATTTATTGCAGGCTAAGAAGTCCTTTTTATTGCTTTTGCTGTAAAGCTTAAGAGATGCCCCAGTGTCTAGCTAATGTTGCAGTAATTCATACTGAGATAGACAGTATGATATTTAAAGATGCACTATTACTTGAATGAAGTGCCTGGAAATCTCTTATGTTACTTTTTGTAGATAATAATTATACTTCAGAGAAGCACAAACCTAATACAGTAGTGTACATAATTTTGGGAATATTTTACAATTGTTGCCACTATGGGTGATTTAATATTGGAGGTTTGATAGGTTTGAACATGTACAGTTTAATTACAGGGTTTAATTTAGAGAATAACCAATATAATATAACTTTTTAGGGAATATTTAAGAGCTGGATTGGACAAACAGGGTGTGGATCTTTCTCCCACATAAAGAGATTTATGCAGTAAAAGAAAGTAGAGCAGATCTCACGCTTTTAGGGACACACAACACAGGAGAAAGGACCTCAGCAGGTGACCAGACATTTGAGGTGCAGAGGTTTTCAGGAAAGTGATCATGTGTAATTTAAAAAAATTCAGACATCAGTATGAATGAAGAATGCAAACAAATTGCTGTTTTCATTAAACAGTCCAAACACTAAACTTTAACAGTGTAGGATCATCTGAAATCTTAATGATGCTCTCTTAGTGAAAGAACATCTAACTATTAAAAAGTTGTGGCTAGTTGACCAGATTGCTGTTTCCTCTTGGTTTATTAGTTTCTTCACCCACAACCACACAGCACCGCCACTTTGATAAGTGACACAGCACCACCACTTTGATAAGTGACACAGCACCACCACTTTGATAAGTGACACAGCACCACCACTTTGATAAGTGACACAGCACCACCACTTAGGTATGTGACACAGCACCACCACTTTGATAAGTGACACAGATATTAGTAGTTAAAATGTTGAAAGTTTTGTTAGGTCACATGGAACTTAGTTTATGGTTTGTGCTACTCTGGAGTAAACCTTTGTAGTTGGCTCGCATGACATATTACTTGCATGACTTCACACTCAGATCCAGCGGAAGGTTGCCGTGGTGATGACTCGTTTGTATGTGTTGAAGGTACTATCATTTGTGAAGTACAGCGGTGTGATGGTTCAGAGGACTGCCCTGAAGGAGATGATGAGGAAGGCTGTGGTAGGTTATTGAACTGGCATTGCTTGCCATCTCCACTTATTACTAGTTACAACTAATTTACATCATCCACCTTACAAATCAACTTAATTTATTAGGTTTTATAATACTACAGGTATTGTACTTCTGATGCTGTATGGGCAGCATTTTTTTTTTTTTTAATATCTTGGCAGCTTATAGAAAATGTATTTTACTGGATGACCGCTTTTGTTTAATATGCCATTTGCCTAGAAATTAAATTAGAATTCCCAATAATGGCAGAAAAAAGCTTGTATGCATGATAACAAAGGTATGATCAAGAAATTATGCAGATGGCTTGCAGTAAAAATGCACTAGGTAGCCTGTTGGAGCCATTTCTTACAATGTGTGGAGAGGAAAGCAACAGCTACTAATGGAAAAGTCTTTCCAACCATAGCTAGGTCAATCACTTTTGCTAGAAAAGCGTCCCTAAATAATTTGGATGCTGCCATTAAAGGCCAGAAACACCAGTTAGTCGAGACCATTTTTCCTCGAACTGTCCATCCGTGTACTGGTGTCCTTGTTATTTGTACAATCGTTATACATACAGTATACTGTACTCGGTTATGCATAGTAGCAGTTTTTACCACCAAAAATTATTATTCGTGTGCCTAACTCTCTTATAATTATGTACTGTATACAAAATAAAACCTCAATTTAATGGAATTAAAGGGAGAAGCGATGTCGTTAATGCTGGCAGTCCATTAAATCCTGACTTTTACCACAATTTACTTTTGATGTGCTGTTTATATATGATCTATGATCATGTCTAATAACAACTTATATATTGAGCACCATGAAAGAGTACAGTAATTCCTGACTATTTGTGTATTGTGTTTGTGCCATCAACGATTTGTGGGAGGCAATAAAATAATAATACTGTACAGTAATTTTAAATACTGTATCTGCTAATAGATGATGTGCCCACTCATTCTGCCATGAGGCCTGTGAAGCTTATTTAAGATGGTGTGACCCACCAGCTAAAGTAAATGCCCACCCTCGCTTTAAAATCACTCTCTGTAATACAGAGGTGTATAAAAAGGGAATATCTTAGCAGAAACCAGTCACTTGTGGTTAACTGGGTAAAATTTCATAAAAAACTAACTTGGTTGTTAAAGCTTGTAACAGACTTATTTTATTGCTCAGTGTTCTTAAAGAATTCCATTAGGCTGCTAGTTTGTAGGACTGACACTATATCTGCTGTGCTAGACTAAATTCTCTGTACACATAGTAATGCAGGTTTGTTATCAGAAAGAATTTCTCATGACATAATATTTTGATTGTTTACATCAGCTAATAGGATCAGTTGTCTAAAACAGGTTGATGGTGAGAGCGGAGATGACCAAGCTTGCTTGCAAAGTCTGCTTCAAGGAAGCTCTTATATGCCTCCTAGGTATGTAAATATGAATTTGAAGAAACACATGGAGAGGTCCTGGCATATCATTTTGTTTGTGAGCATGTTGAGAACCTTCCAAGAGTAATTACAACCCTCTTTCATACTGACCGAGCGATGTCCCATCTTTTTTTGTGTGTTCTTTAAACACATTGTACTTTCAAAGTTAAGCCTGGAGTTTCAGCTGTCTCAGGAGTAGAATAATAGTGCCGTACAGTAGTACTTTTTAGCAAAATGTTTTCAACACTTCAACTCATTTGAGCAAAGTTTGATTTGTGATCCATATAGTAAACAAGATACAACAGCCTTGGTTTATTTCACAAGGTGGGGACTAAGAACGTCAGAAATTAAATATTAAAATATAAAGATACTGTATATATAATTCTTTACAAAATATATGTAAAGGGTTAGTGACTACAGCCCCCCAAAATCATCTAACTATTCTTATTTGCTTACTATGTGTACAAAGAGAAGAAAACCCAGCAACCTACAGAATTCGAGGTTGTACTGGATGATATTTATGCACATTAATCATCAACTCCCCCCCCCTCCCTTCACTACCACAACTTCTTATTATAAGGGAGAGATTAATTTCCTCCCGTCTTACGGGAGACCTTTAATGTTATGTTAACAGATCCAGATAGGGTAAAAAGAGCGACATGTAAGGAATAACCAGCACTGGTGTTGATGCACGATAGCAGATGTGTGTTACATCAGTTAAGAGTCAGTATTGCAAGCCATCTGCTTATCTCCTGATCATAAAATGAAACTTCAGTGATAAATTTTCTATTTCAAAGAAAGAAATTGAATTTCAATTATGATGTGAGCTGAGTGTATTGAACTAACTTAATATTAATGTCTCAGGATTTATTGTTGCTCTTTTCCTCATTTTTAATTTTGAGTTTTGCCAAAAATATAAGATATAATACAGTAAAAAACAAGGCTTATATAATATTGTTCCTAACTCTTGCATTATAAATAATAATTGAGTATATACAATGTTTTATCAGAAATTAACTATAATTTTTCACTTTCAATGTTCTGTACTTATTTATACAGTATTCTCATTTAAACATTGTCATAGCATTGTATGTTAACATTCTGTTGCCATGTGATTAATGTCTTAAAAAGCTCTGGTATGGCTGTTTGTAAATGTTATGTGCCTTCTGTTTCTTAGAACAAAAATATTTTAATGTCCGCGCTCTTTCAGCTCCTTTACTGTGTGCATGTGATATATTAGAGCAAGACCAATGAATTTACCTAAAACTCTGGCATCTTTGGCATAGTGGTAGACCTCATCTTGGGTTCATGGAGGCTTTATTTGGGTTGTCAGTTGTATTTTCTATGGTACTTTATTATTGTTATTCTTTACACATTCTTTGTACACCAGAAGGAATAAATATTGTGAAGTAATAGGAGATATATATATACATATATATATGGGAAATAATGTTGCTAGATTTCCTAGAAACTTAAAGGGTAGAGTGGAGCAGAAAAGTTCTTCATGCACCTCTTGACTCTTAGAGTCAATCAGTGCCCCATGCTGAAACATACCATTGGGTTGAGCCAGTCATGATGCATGAGGCTCACCACCACACACACATCCTCCAAACACAGCCACATCCATGGAGAGTTCCTGCTTAGTTTTGCCATTCAACGTCACTGCGTGTACTGTAAATGTTTTCAAAACATTTTTTGGGGCTGAGTTTCCCGTGATTAGTTTAAAGAATTAACCTTTTATTGTATGTAATTCAGAGCACTAAACTATGACCTACACTATGAACCATGATCTTTAAATGTTTTCTTGTGTGTTCTTTTCTCTGTTGGTCTCAAAGTCTGAAGCAGAGTTCAAACACCAGCGGAGAAAGGTAAAATTAGATTTTCTAAATTTAATCTCTCCTGGTGTATTAAATCTTTCCTATTTCTGAAGTACTTTTAAACACTAAATCAAAAATAACCTGATAGCACAGGGTGATTTTTTTATGCAAGAACCTTGAATGATTATTATAGACTTGAATCTATATCGGGTAGAATCCTAAAAATTTGTGTAATTGAAGTCTGATGTTTCAGAAGGATATTCACGGAATCATATACAATACAGGGTACTGTAATTGATTTCCTTAAGTGACGTGCTGAAATTGCCCACCACAATGTTGTATACGTATACAAATTTGCTTCTCGCAGCAAACATTGTAACACAGACAATAGCATTCCTTGGGGAATATTATTGATAGTTTTGTTGATTTGTGCCTTTAATTCTTTAAGAGTGTGTGAATTTGTAGCAGAGACTCTGTCCTTCAAATATCCCCTTAGAATGAAATCTGGTGGCAAAAGATATGGGCATCAAGGTTATGTAAATTCCTTCAAATATATTGTCATTTGGGGAATTTGTAAATATTAAAATTTGGTTTTAGCATTTACCCTCCGTATGTGCCTTATGATTTGTCTGTAATTTTTTATTTAATGTGTGTTTTTGTGATATATACAAGTTGATGTGTGTGTACAGTATATGGTTATGTGCATTTTTGTGTGTGCATATATTATTATGTGGTGTATGGTTTGTTGGGGTTTTTGTTCAGACAAATGTTTCATTAATTTGTCCTGTTTGAGTGTAGTGTCCACATCAAGCCATGTCCTCAATTCTTGAGTGTATATGTGACTGTTGATGTGACAGTCCAGTGTGTTTTACTGTTGTAATGTAAACAGATTGCTCAGAGGACGAGTTTACATGTGATCACGAACGATGTATACCCAAGGAAAAAATGTGCGATATGATCCAAGACTGCATGGATAAAAAGGATGAGGAAAATTGTTGTGAGTATTGTTATGCTGTAGCTGCATATTTGTGGCTCATCACCACCTTGGTACTAATCTTGATTTTAAGCTTTTCAGGACTCTCACAAGATATGGAATCATTTTTCTAGTTCTCTTATGCATTTACATAAGAAATGATTGAGGCTGATATAAGACAGTTTGTGAATATTGTGTTCCTAGAATTGATGGTTAATAACATAAGTAGGGACATGGGATTGGAATGGATTTGAGATATATGTATCGAGTATATTAACCAAAATAATAGATAAACAGTTTTGACATACTCCAGCTAGTACTGATAACTCATTGTGCATGAAGATAATAACTCATATGATATATCTGTGAAGTATCTAAGGTTAATTTTCCCCAAATTGAAATACTGGCAAGCCAGAACATTGCAACACATGTACAGTCTCGTTCAAGATTCTTCGAACACTGCTGGAGACAGCTGGCAACTCAAGGCCGTTAGTTTACTATAGTACGTAGTAAAAATTATGAATAAATTTAAAAGTGATTGGTGATTGGTTACTTAGTTCCCCGTTGCTTAATTTAATGGTTGGGCTTTGTTGTTTTGTATTATATTATACTACGTACTATTGTAAACAAAGAGCCTTGAGTTACCAGCTGTTTCCAGCAGTGTAAAAAGAATCTTGAACGAGACTGTACAGTACAGTACTTCATTTGAAACATTTTGAAAGTACCAAGCATTGCAACCTGACTATAGTATTCCCTGTATATTGTTATAATTATTGGTAAATTGCATTTTAGAAGAGTTGCTCATTTAAAGTATTCCCATTAGATTTGTTCTGAGAGAGATAGTTCAGCTGTTTTGAGAGGTACTTTTAAAATGGACTATATCCATCTTTTCAAGAATTCTTATACAATTTGTAATCCTTCATTGTAAATATTGTTCTTTACTACTCATCATAGAAATCTGCGTTTGATTTAAAAGGCGTAAATGTAGAGGTACCGGTATTAAATACAAGAGGGCAAAATAAACTTAATTTGATAAGATTTACAAATCTTCATTTGATGTATTGTATGTTTATCTATGTGAAAAAATATCCAGATCTGCATACAATAATGAGAAGTTACATTAGTCTTCTGTAATGCCCAAAAATAGTATTTTATCATTTATGAATGTATATACTGTATATCAGACAGTATAATTATATATCTTAAATGAAAAGCATTGTTCCCCCTTAGTTTTACAATTGGCTTCATATTCATTGTGACTCTATCAGGAAAATTCTCTTTTGCAATAGGAACTTTGTGTTTAATTATTGATATTTTCTGTTGAGCTTTGTTATAGAATTAGAATAACATTATAGTTACGTAGTTACAACAAAATTATTAAAAATGTTGTATGAAAATGTTAGAATAACAGTACAGTATTCCCTATTGTTATGAACAATGTTAGGAACTGAAGATATACAAACCATGTTGGCAGAAAGATAACTTGAAGATTTGTTTAGATTTGTAGCAAAACAATCACACATTCATTCATGATTTAGAATACTGTACTCTGAACAGTACTCTGTAGAATGCATGCTCTTTAGAATACGTAAATCTGAGCATTATGTTGTGGTGACAATTATTGATGATACTTCAGTGGTGTATGTTAACTATCCTAAGGTTTGTTATTAGTAATACTATTGGATATTCAGTACAGGTATCCCTCAATTTATGAAAACTACTGTACCAGATACTTAAGTATTTCGGTTTTATGATAGTATGTATGCATTGTAATAAATTTAATAAATTACACACACACACACATATTATTACATACATACATATGCACACACACATACATGTATTTATGTATGTATGCATGATTTTATATCTAGAAATTATAATGATAACCAGTGAAGAAGCACAATTTGATTATGATGAGGGATATACCTGTTTACTTTTAAATTAGTATATCTGTAATTTCTAAAGGTTCATTAAATGCAAGCAACTGAATGCTAATGATATTTATGGCTGCTAAATGTAATAAGGATGCCACAACAGTTAGTAATGGATGAAGGCATTGAAAAAGGAAAGTGTTTGATTTTCTGATTCTGGCCACCCTGCAGTATAGTGGGAAAAGGCTTGCATTAGTAAAGAGGAAAGTGTCCTTATTCTTTACAGTGTAAGAATCAATATGAAATAAAAAGATTATAAGTGAGTGTAGCTTTCCAGGAGTAAGAATAATAATATGAAGAGAGTATGACTTTTTCCTCGGCAGTTACCACAGCAGCTCCCCCACCAATACCCTCATGTCGTTCAGATGACCAAGGCCCTAGGCAATGTAATGATGGAGTTTCTTATGCATGTTATTGTGATGGTCATGAAGAGTGCCCAGGAAGAGAAGATGAAGACCCACAAACATGTGGAACTTCGGGTAACTTACTATTGAATCCTGTATTTACTAATTACTTGTGAAAACTCTGCTCTAACACTGCATTCATTGTGGCTTTAAACCTAATAATCTTCAATAATAATAATACTAATAATTAACAAAAGGCATCACACTTCCTCATGAGCCAGGATCTCTGTACCATACACTTTGCTTTTAACATGGCCCTCCAGGATGACCAACTTTAAGGAATTCCATTGTTACTCAAGCAAAATGAGCTGGGGCACCATCATACATGTACCACAGTTGACGTATCCTGATGGGCACATCCTCAAGCATCACTGGCAAAGTGTCCTCAAGAAAATGTGTGTATGTTTCACCTGTCATTTGCTGGGGTAACAGATGTGGGCCAGTAAAGTGGTCACCAATAATGCCAGCCCAAACATTGATTACTAATCATACTGTACCTCCAAATAGAGCTTGATATTTTTTGTTTTATGTCCATAGACTTATTGCAGTCCTTCCCTACCCAATTTTGTGGTATAACTCCAAAACTATGGGGTATTGACACTATGGTCATGGAGCTATTTATTCTTATGTGTCAGGAATATACCCCTAGAATTATAAAGAATATTTCCCAAACACCTTGTATATTACAAATTTGGATATGGGGATTTTTGACTGGTTCATGCTTATGGAGTACTTGCAAGAACTTTACACCTTGTACCTGTATAGCAATTTCTCTGAGTAGTATGTAAAGCATGATAGTTGGTTTATTACTTAAAATATACCCTACTAACAAATCCATTAGTTAGCTTCTGTTTTTGAGATGAGAAGTATATTATGTAGGTGGTTATGGTGTACACTGAATTGATGTAAAAAATTAAACTCGAATGTAAAAATATATAGAAAAACTTTTAATGGCAATCTGGGATGAATTTTATTAGTAGTACTGTACTGTAATATTGTATATTATGCCATTTTATAACTGATATAGCAGATTACTGAAGTTATCTTTCCAAGCTTGAAAGCTTCTAAAAATGAGCCTTCTCTAATTGTTTAGAAACTCTCTCAGTATAATGGTATCATTTATTGCCATGAGCTTAATATCTCCTTCAAAAACCTTATTAGGCAGTTAGCTCAGGAGTCTCTGAACATCTGTAAGTATTAAAGACTTTGCAGCAAATTAGTTGAATGAAAAAGTATATGTTACCACAGAAGGTACATGAACAGTACTGTATAAAGAAGGGAAAGACTAGAACCAAAGAAGTATGAAAAGACTAGAGAATGTTGAAAGAAAGATGAATAAATATAGATAATCTGAAAATAACAATACAGTACATTATTCATATCTGCAGATAAAGTGACACATTTCATGTGAAATTCGATTTAAGTCATAATGTCTTTTTAACTATTGCAAATATTCATAATTGATAACTAATAAGAATAAGAATTGTTTTGTGAAAATTATGATAAAAACTTGCTGCTAGTTTTAAAAGAAAATGTAAATATTTTCTGGAATGCTTGATAATGTTTAACTGAATAAGATTAAACGTGTAACATAATTTATTGATAATCCAACTTTGTGTTTCATCAGGGTGTGAACCTGGTGAGCTTCTGTGTGATTTTGGCACCCGTTGTGTTCAATCCAGTCAATTATGTGATGGTACCCGGCAATGCCTTGATGGACTCGATGAACAAGACTGTACTCCTACGCCTGGTGAGTACTGCACTCCATATTTTCTGTATTACGTAATATCTTTGTCCACTTATGTGTAATTCTAAGTGTAGCTGCAGGACTCACTATACCTTGGCAGCCTCAGCACCAAGGACACTAATGGTGCATGGAGAATACCACTTGGGGTTGATATAGTAGTTGGTGGGTGTGGGGCTGGTGGCTGACACAAACACAGGTAGGCATTAGACTGGTGCTGGGGGCTGACACAAACACAGGTAGGCATTAGACTGGTGCTGGGGGCTGACACAAACACAGGTAGGCATTAGACTGGTGCTGAGGGCTGACACAAACACAGGTAGGCATTAGACTGGTGCTGGGGGCTGACACAAACACAGGTAGGCATAAGACTGGTGCTGGGGGCTGACACAAACACAGGTAGGCATAAGATTGGTGCTGGGGGCTGACACAAACACAGGTAGGCATAAGACTGGTGCTGGGGCTGACACAAACACAGGTGGCATGAGACTGGTGCTGGGGGCTGACACAAAGGCAGGGGGCATGAGACACAAACACAGGTAGGCATGAGACAAACACAGGTAGGCATAAGACTGGTGCTGGGGCTGACACAAACACAGGTAGGCATAAGACTGGTGCTGGGGGCTGACACAAACACAGGTAGGCATAAGATTGGTGCTTGGGGCTGACACAAACACAGGTAGGCATGAAACTGGAGCTTGGGGCTGACACAAACACAGGTAGGCATAAGACTGGTGCTGGGGGCTGACACAAACACAGGTAGGTACATTTTCCTACACATCTCTTAACTTATCATTATGGCAGGACAGTGCCTTTAAAAGTTTTTAATTTACAGTAAGTAACGATGGTTCTCATCAGAATAAACAGTTGAACATAATGGAGAGCATAAAAAATACAATAAAAAACGAAACCTTAAGATATGAAAAATTTCACTTGTTTTTCTTATTAAATACTGTAATGTGGTTGATATACCCAGATACTTTCTTGACCTGAAGTTTTATTGGAAGCGGATAAATTGAGGGGGTGGTGGAGGTGTGACTGGGGTGGTGGAGGTGTGACACGGGTGGTGGAGGTGTGACTGGGTGGTGGAGGTGTGACTGGGGAGGTGGAGGTGCTGCTGGGGTTGTGGAGGTGTGACACGGGTGGTGGAGGTGTGACTGGGGTGATGGAGGTGCTGCTGGGGTGGTGGAGGTGACTGGGGTGTGGAGGTGTGACTGGGGTGGTGGGGGTGTGACACGGGTGGTGGAGGTGTGACTGGGGTGGTGGAGGTGTGACACGGGTGGTGGAGGTGTGACTGGGGTGGTGGAGGTGCTGCTGGGGTGGTGGAGGTGCTGCTGGGGTTGTGAGGTGTGACTGGGGTGGTGGAGGTGTGACTGGGGTGGTGGAGGTGACTGGGGTGATGGAGGTGACTGGGGTGATGGAGGTGTGACTGGGTGGTGGAGGTGTGACGGGTGGTGGAGGTGTGACTGGGGTGGTGGAGGTGCTGCTGGGGTGATGGAGGTGTGACTGGGGTGGTGGGAGGTGGACTGGGGTGGTGGAGGTGTGACTGGGGTGATGGAGGTGTGACTGGGGTGGTGGAGGTGTGACTGGGGTGGTGGAGGTGTGACTGGGGTGGTGGAGGTTTGACTGGGGTGGTGGAGGTGCTGCTGGGGTGGTGGAGGTGTGACGGGTGGTGGAGGTGTGACGGTGGTGGAGGTGTGACACGGGTGGTGGAGGTGTGACACGGGTGGTGGAGGTGTGTGACTGGGGTGGTGGAGGTGCTGCTGGGGTATGGGAGGTGACTGGGGTGGTGGAGGTGACACGGTGGTGGAGGTGGTGGAGGTGTGAGGTGTGACACGGGTGGTGGAGGTGTGACTGGGGTGGTGGAGGGTGACTGGGGTGGGAGGTGTGACTGGGGGTGGGGTGTGGTGGAGGTGTGGTGGTGGATGGGTGGGTGGAGGTGGGTGGTAGGGGTGGGTGGTGGGGGTGGGTAGGTAGGGGTGGGGTGGTGGAGGTGGGAGGGGTGGGGGGTGGAGGTGGGAGGTGGGGTGGGGTGGTGGAGGGTGGGTGGGGTGGTGGAGGTGGGTAAGGGTGGGGGTGGGTGGCTGGGTGGGGTGGGGTGGTGGAGGTGGGTAGGTGGGGGGGTGGGGTGGTGGAGGTGGGGGTAGGGTGGGGTGGTGGAGGTGGGTGGTAGGTGGGTGGGAGGTGGGGTGGGTGGGTGGGTGGTGGGGTGGTGGTAGGGGTGGGGTGGTGGAAGGTGGAGGTGGGAGGGGTGGGTGGAGGGTAGGGGTGGGGTGGTGGAGGTGGGTAGGGGGTGGGGTGGGGTGGTGGAGGTGGGTAAGGTAGGGTGGGGTGGTGGAGGTGGGTAGGCAGGTGGGGTGGGGAGGTGGGTGGTGGAGGTGGGTAAGGTAGGGGTGGGGTGGTGGGGGTGGGGGGGTGGGGGTAAGGTAGGGTGGTGGAGGTGGAGGTGGGAAGGGTGTGGGGTGGGTGGGTGGAGGTGGGTGGGTAGGGGTGGGTGGTGGGTGGAGGTGGGAGGTAGGTGGGGGTGGTGGGAGGTGGGTAGGGTGGGTGGTGGAGGTGGGTAAGGGGTGGGTGGTGGAGGTGGGTAAGGTAGGTGGTGGTGAGGTGGGGGTGTGTGGTGGGGGTGGGTAGGGGGGTGGTGGAGGTGGGCAGGTAGGGTGGGGTGGTGGAGGTGGGTGGCTAGGTGGGTGGGATGGCAGGTGGGGGTGGTGGGGTGGTGGTTGGGGTGGTGGGGGTGGAGGGTGGGGGTGGTGGTAGGGTATGGTGGGTGGGGTGGGTGGGTGGTGGAGGTGGGTAAGGTAGGTGGGATGGTGAGGTGGGTAAGGTAGGGTGGGGTGGTGGAGGTGGGTGGTGGGAGGTGGGAGGTATGGGGTGGTGGAGGTGGGTAGGGTGGGGGGTGGAGGTGGTGGTGGGTGGTGGAGGTAAGGGTGGGATGGTGGAGGTGGGTAAGGTAGGGTGGGGTGGTGGAGGTGGGTAAGGTGGGGTGGTGGAGGTGGGTAAGGTGGGGTGGTGGAGGTGTGGTAGAGTGAATGGGGTGGTGGAGGTGGAGGCGTTGATGCCCATGTACATAACAGTGGAGGAGACTGCACGTCGCCGTCTCACTTAAATAATATAATGTTTGTGCCTGTTACTCGTACAGTCGCTAAGTGTTTGTACCCTTTATTGATACTGATGGTAGCTCAGACCTTGTGTGCTCGTCTCTTTCAATTATAATGGAACAGTAAGTCGGGAAGGAATGTTCAGACAGTACAGTATGTATGTCTTTTGTGACGAATACTTGATGTCGAGATAATGTTAACAGATGGTTAGCCTCAGTGAAAGCACATCACGGAAATGTGCACAAGACAACAGTTCCTTGAATTTAGTAAATGTTCTAGTGAATGTACAGTATGTCCTCCTTTTATTACTTGTATGATTCTCCAAGGAGGTGCCATTGCCACCTTCATGTTAAGAGATGCTTGAAGGAATTAGAAATACCAGAACCATCATTCTTCATTCATTTTGACCAGTGATTGTACAGTATAGTACAGTGCAGATTCACTCATATATAGTAGAAAGATTACATCTTAAAGGAACATAATTGGCATGTATATTATATTGTGACTCGGTACAACTAACAGTTAAGTATACTACATAATCACTGGTCAAGATGAAACAACCATAACTACAACGTTATCACGTTTGTTTGTGGAATTTATTACTTCTTATTTAATCATTCTCAGTAGACTAGATAATGAATTGTTTTAGTCTGAAGCAATAAGGATTTAATTGACCTTCATTCTTAGACTGATAAAACTCGGTCCAGTTTTAGCTTGAAAGCACTGGGAAGCATGTATTGTTATCATCGTTGGCATCATGAAAACAAGAATTTTGATGTCCAGTTGCTTCAACCGGTCAAAGTACCTGTATTTGTTTTGTGAGAATAATAACTAGTAGCAAGCGAGGTTTCAGCATGCAGCAACTCGCTCCTTCTCTAATGAAATTACTGTATACTGTGTGCAAAAACCTTATGTTGTTGAAAATTTTGTTTTATTAGTATGTTCCCTGCTGGCTACAGTAAGATAGGCAGTTGCTTGTGTCATGGGATGTGTGAGGCTAAGGCCTCCTGCAACCCTACCAAAATGTTTGTTTCGGGAGGTTAGAGCCAAGCTATAGGGGCCCGGTGGGACATTGCCCCATTGTTGTTCATCGCTTTTCACACCTGAACCAACCACATTTAACTTTCTAAGCGGAGCTACTGTAGTTGGCCCCCGACTATGGGTTAGTTAAGGCCTCCTGCTCCCCAGCCTTCGAGGAGCGGGGCGTTTACACAGTTCCCCTGTGGCGAAGTTAGGACAGTCATTGACACGAGACTGTGTATGCATCCTCGTGGGAAAAATCTCTTGTGAAGACCTGTCAGTAACAAGAGCGGTCCAGGCCGGCCTAGTGAACCTAAGTGATTATATTCCCCAGTGAAGTGAATGTACCAGTGGAGGAGTTAAGGCCAACCCACAACAGTGTAATTAAATGTTCCCAGGTTGACAAACTCCCCCTTTACAACATTACAGTACTCATATTTCGGCGTGAATGTGAGTGAATGACTCATATACCCAAGCAAGTTGTAAACCATTGTATGGAACCTCGCCAAATAAATTTAAGTGCAATTATCTGCCCGTATATGTGATTCCTATCGTATTATTACTAAAGGTAATTACTGATTGGTTATGACCAATAACTTACACCAATGTTGGAAATTACCAGAAATTATTAAATCATAATTTATCAAGTACTGTATACAACACAATGAATCCCGGGAAGTGGAATGAAATTCTACGGCAGTGATACTCCATAAAATCTCATTGATGAAATATCCATTGTTAAAGTAACGGAGAAACTCTACGGTAAGAAGCACACAGAAAAATCTCGCAAACACTCGATTCTTCTCTCGAGACCTTGTATAATTATAATTGTTCAACATGATTGTTGTACAGGTAGCGTGGCCATGCTACCTTCATGTGCTGGTGTAT